GACCATGCAGATTTTTTCACAGGATATTCTGAAAGTACATAGTCTCTGATGCTGGTGAGGTGCTTAAGCAGTTGTGTTACACTCCTCATACACATCAACTTGCTTAGACCCCCTAAGGCCCCTCAGAGTAAGTGTTCTTATGATTGCTGTTTCCCAAATAGGTGAATTAACTATGGAGTGAGCTGTGAGGAGACAGAGCAGCGCAGTTAACTAGGCACTCTGGGACTCTGTGGGATCCCAGGAAGCACACTGAGGAAGAACAGGGTGGTGTGCTCCCAGAGTAGGAAGAGCTCCACGGGGTGTGGGAGAAATATACGCACACATGTGTTGTAACATGAGAATGTCACTGGAAGAATTCTCAGGAAGCCAATATTATGGTTATATATATTTGAGGAAGGAAACTGGACTTCTGGGGTTGAGGGGTAAAGAAAAGGAGCCTACAGGACCAAGGTGTGTGTTAACTCCTGGAGAGAAGCAGAGACATCCCTGAAAATCCCAAGAACTCAAGAAAAGAGTCTGGTTGTAGGACTTTTGATTCCTATTTGAGCAAAACCTCTCATCAAGATGCCCCAGCCTTGTGGCCTATGACCAGCTCATCTCCCAGCTTCCACTGGGAAGATCCCTCGTCTCTGAAGGCCTGTTTTCATAGCTACAAGATGTGGTGAACAGTGATACCCCTACCCAGAGCTGTCAGCAGAGCTCACAGGACTGCTCCCGGCAAGTGGAGAACACATGCAAGCACAAGTTATTATTGTCCTTGTCCCTTGTGAAGGTGACACTATTCTTAGGCAGTGGGAACTCTGCACTCCACTGCCATCTGGTGTCTTGTGGCTCCGTCTGGCTCTGCCTTGGCAGGTGCTAGAGAAGTACTGAGAAGCAAGAGTGTGTGCCGCTGTCACATGTGAGCTGCTGTCACGTGTGAGCTGCTGTCACTCGCCCCTCAGGCGGTGCTTAGCGGCTGCTTGTGCATTCAGAAAGCATCTTCTATGCTGCAAAACATCTTGTTCCCTTGGCAGGAAGTGACTTAAGCATTGTGCCAAAGAAATAGCAGGAAGCCAATGCTATATCACACGGGGCACCTGGGAGGGAATGGGCATCTCTCCAGAGTAGAAAATCCCTTCCCATCTCTCTTCTTATCCCAGTGTTTAGAAGGGACATGGTATGTCCTGTCTAGATAGTGAATGACCTCTGTTGATACTTCCTGAAATCACATACTGTCATCCCATGACAAGAGTCTCCTTTAAAATCAGGCAATATCAGGCCTTCCATACTGAAGCCTCCTGACTTAGTTCACCTCCAGATTAGCTTTGGGTACCTGTTCATCTCCAATAGCAAAGTGTCCCATTTAAGCTATGGACTAGAAGCAAGGGTGTGGGAGAACACTCACACAGGGCCATCTCCCCTTCCAGGGCAAGCATTAGATGATTTTATGGGGCCTCAAACTCAATTTGGAGCTATCAACCTCCTTCAAAATTGTCTAGAGCTAGAGGGGTTGGGGTGAGGATGCAGAGGGGTTGGATTTAGAAGAATGAGATTGATCTCATATGGATGGTTTCTGAAACTGGGTGATAACTAGAATAGGGATTTGCTATGCTACCTTTCTCTACAGGTCATATTTAAAAAGAATAATGATAGCTTTGATCTTAACAAAGAAACAATTGTTTCTAACAAAAATCATTACATGCACTTCAGTCCTTCCCTGTCCTTTGAGGTGTCCCTCAAGCTTTTAGATCAGTCTTACTCGTCAGTTTGGAACTGGGTTGTCTCCCCTGGAATAACTGATTTTATTTAAGAAATTTGGCCCTAAACAGTGATGGGGTTAGACACACAGCCACATTCCTGCTTCAGCTTCTGAGAATGATGAGAATCCTAAGGAAGTTCCATGCTTGCGTCTCAAACAGATGAAATCATGACCGTGGACACCAGGAAATACCAGTGAAGCCCAGCATGCCTTCAAAGTATATGGAATCTCTTAGCCCATTTCCGGAGCCTTTTGGAGAATCACTGAAAAATCCAAGGGGATGAGGGGAGAGGTGTTTAGAAGAGTCTTGTAGAAGCAAATGGCTATTTTCTTCTCCTTTTCTCTAATCCCTACTTTTCTATTAGTCCCACTACAGACCCCTGTTTACTAATGTCAGTTTTTTTGGTTTTTTTTTTAAGCTGCTTCTCTTCACTTTGAGTCCCATAAAACTCATTGGAGGGAAAATACCTGCACAGATGTGAGGCTATTTATAGTCTTTATTGGTTCACTTGGTGTGAAGACTCCTATTGTGTTGCTGAGACTCTCAAGTGTGTGTTACAGGGTGCTGCCCTGGACTTGCTGGGGATGTTAACACAGTTGTGTCTCATAGCACTGTATTTGTTGTCTTAAAATAAAATTAGAAGGAAAAGCCCTGAAGCCTAAACCCAGTTTGGCCCCAAGCTTTTACATAAGAGCCCTGGGTCTGGGTTTCTAATGAAACAAACAAACAAACAAACAAACAAACACATTTCATCCTACATCAAAAGCCAGACCTTACTGTTAAGGATGGAGCTCGGAAGTAGAACAGGATCTCAGAATAAAGAAAACCCTGAGTTCTCACCCCTCATGCTGTACATTTGTACACACACACACACACACACACACACACACACACACACAGAGAGGGGGGAGAGGGGGGGAGGGAGGGGGGGAGGGAGGGAGGGAGGGAGAGAGAGAGAGAGAGAGAGAGAGAAACAACAGCAAAAAGCATACCTTACCTTTGCACATGAGGTGGCACACAGCAGTGCAGGATATCCTTTCCCTATTTTTGGGACCATTTGTCTCCCAGACTCCTCCATGATCACTGATACAGCACCCACCCTTCAGCACCCTTGATTGCTTCTTGCTTTTCAGGGTAAGCAGGACTATCAAGTCAAGGACCCCACATGACAGACAGAAACTGTAGGTACAGACTTGCTTGCACTTTTCCTGCCTTTCTTCCTCTTCCATTTCTAACAAGTAGCTCAAAGAGCTCTTGTGGAGGACAGCTCCACTTCCCATCCCTAAATCTTTGGCGCCCCCCACTAGTTTTTTTAATCCAATTATCAAGCCATGAATGAGAGTATAGAAAAACAACAACAACAACCTGATTTCACAGATTTTTCTCCCTGATAATACCCTCTCTACTGCCTTCCAAGGCTCCTTCTCTAAGAACTAGCTTGTATGCATGGCTCTATTTCTTTCCTTACACTTCTTGCCTCCCTTCCCTCCACCTGGCTCCAGGGCCTCTGGATCCTGGAACAGCTAAACCCGTCTGTTACCTCCGGGTTGCTGACTTCCTCTCTGGGGATCTTCCACTGGGATGCAGACCTTCCCTTTACAGTGCTCTGGCCCTGGGTTTTCCCCACATTGTGCCTCTCCTGCTCCCTTCAAGATGACTTTCTCTTCCCTGCATGAAACCCTAGAGATGAATTTAGACCAAGGATCTGCCCTCTTCTCAGTGTCTACTCTATCCTACAGGGACACATGCTAGTCACAACCTCTCTCTCCAGCTGTGCTCTCTGCAGTAATGCTGCGCTCATCTACCCAGCTGCCTACTCAACATCTCCCAGTACTTTAAACTCAGCTTCCCTGTAACTGCTGTAAGATGCTGTAAACCCATCTCCAAGCCAGCCACAGGCATGGCCTTCCAGTCTAGCATACCCATCTCCAGTCTATCTTTAAGGTCTCCATCTATCCCTCAGCACCATCTGGCAACAGGCAAAGCCACTACCACATGCCACTTGGACTTCCAGAAAGTGTTTCCTTGGGGCTTCCTGGCTACATACACCAGTTACTTTTGTGAATGTACACCTAATAGTGGCCTTCCTTCTTCATCCCCTTAGTGTCTTCTGGATCAAGTGCTTTCTTAGAGTGAATACAAAGATCTCTAAAGGCCCTTGACTCTTGGGGTTTTCTCAGAACCATTTGTTCTACCCTATCTGCACTATCCCACCTGCACTATCCCACTTGCCCTATCCCACCTGCACTATCCCACCTGCACTGCCTCACCTGCCCTATCCCACCTGC